CTACGATGCATACCTCGATCCAAGCTCATTGTCCCTAGAATCATAGTAAACAACCATCTCAAAACTCGTCATCAGCTCCACCTGATTTTACCTATTGGATTCCTTATTTGTCGCGACCTCACCCATCGAAGGTGGGTTTAAACCAAGGCTCAATCTGCTGAAGATTTAGGTCACCCAAGCGCTCAACCCATCTCTAGAAAAAGGCCCATGTGATGTTGAGCCCACACCACCACCAATCTGCCCATCTCCTTTCCTCTGGCCCACATCTTGATTCTCTGAGGCTTGACACACCAAATTAAACCTGCACCCGAAGACGTCTGGCCCATTCACTTTATTTTCCCCCCCTCTCCAAACGGCCTAACTACTGGCCACTCCATTGACCTCCACCTTTGGGATTCCAGACCTAAGAAAGCCTAGCCCGTGTACACAAGTTCCGAGGATCCTTCTGCCTCAAATCTCGGCTAGAATCCCAATAATCGAATCTCCGAAAATCATGGTTTTCCATCCTTGGCCCCTGACGAACATTTTTCTCAGGCGATCACCAAGCTACCACCACCGGCCCTTCCTCCGACCAAACTGGTAAAATGTACTTCCATCGACTCCACTGAATGTAAATTTTCACCAAAGCACCCATCTCTGCCTGTCACACCTTTATACAAACAACACCCAGAGCTTCCATAGCCATCGTCTCATCATCCACCTCCAAAAATGTTCCACAGCGATCCCCAATCGCTCGGAACACCTGTTCCCCTCTAAGGTGCACTGGAAGACCCAACACCTAAACCCAAAAGCTTTGCGACAGTGGGACCTGATTGCCTCTTGCACATAGTGCCCCTGGCAACCACCAATCAAGCAACAACGATCGACCATCCACTACCCACTTGCTCGTATGGATTCATGCAGCGCTTGCCCTAGTCGGAAATGCAAAGAGCATGAACTGGCTACCTACCGCCTTGACCTACACCCCCCCTTGATTTTCCATGTTTGATATGCCCACTCCGACAAACGTGGCATCTCCATCCCTTTCTCCCCCTAGAGTACCCGCTCTACCCACCAAGCAAGAGTCTAAGAATTTGACCCAGCCCTCTTCTAATCCTTGACAAACCTCTACGTCGTAGCCACAAGCCCCAAGGACAACCACTGCCTCCCCCATCGGCCATGCTTTACTTCTTATCAACTGTCCACCACCTCTTGGCTTAACCTACCTATTTCCACTCGCAAAGCCTTCAAGCACCAATGCAAAACCTTCCCACCCATCTCCAAAAGAGGGTTTTGGAATGAAAATATAACTCCGATGGTCACCCATTTGCACCACCACCTGTATCGCAGACCCAGTTTCCTCCGACCGCAGCCAATAAGCCACACTCCGTCGACCACCAAAAACTCGACCCATAAACGCACCCTTCATTTTCATCTTAGATGCCTATAACCCACCAGCCATTGGATCTCTGCCAAATAGCTCTATCGCCCTGCGTAACCCCTGGCCACGCTTGACAATGTCCACTTGCCTTCGGCCAATCGAATCAGCCTACCCCTCTTCAAGTTCAAACAACCGATCCGCCAGAAACAATATCCTCCGGTGAGGCCCCTCCTCGAGTTTCGAAGGGAACATCTCAAAAACCTTAACTCCATAAGTAACATTTAATTATGATCATAGCTTTATTTAAAGGGTCCACAAAAATTAAAGAACCAACTAGAGTTCCCTAAGACAAGTGAAAAGGCGATTCTAGGTGTAATATCGATTCAATAGAATATTGTACTGATTATAACTGGATGAATTTGTGTTGAAAGATTATTTGTGTCTTTCACATTCCAATTAGTTCTCCCGCAAAAGCTTAGTGGGGTAGAGAGAGAGGAGAGATGGTCGAACCTACATTGCAGGTACTCTGATTCAGTATTTGGATGCTTAGTGGGATAGCGAGAGGAGAGATGGTCAAACCCACATTACAGGTACTCTGATCCAGTATTTGGATAATTGAAGCCCAGAACATTCTGCTAGCAGCACAATTTTTTTCTGCTTCCCCTTTTCATTGATTTACTTTTTTTCTCTTTTTTTTTTTTAAAAAAATAAATTCTTATACAGTGCCATTTGTACAACAATAAGCTGGGAAGTTTAAATTCAAAGAGACATGGTTATGGCACTCTACATTTCATGAATTTTCAACACAAAAATAAATATGGCCGTCCTTACCTGATTTAAGGGATTTCCTTATTTCCTCCTCCTTTCTCCAAAATAAAGTTCTTAAAGTGCAAAACCAATAATCATTTCGATGGTTTTTCAAATAATTCAAAAGACACACATAAGTCATGAGAATCACCTCAGTTTGGGCATCAAACCATAAGTCGTATGAGATCTATTAAGCATGCAAGCTTGTTCATGTAAGAGCCAAGAGAATTCAACATTGGACATTTATTTGTTCATCCTGAGATCGCCAACTAACAACAAACAACAATGCCTATTTTGTAAGAGAACAGGTAGAGTGAAGACAATTAGACCCAAAAATCCATTGGAATTATCACAATGAATGAAGAAAATTCTCTAACTTCAAATATCATTACACTCGACAACCTAATATGGGCCTTCAATCAAACTACTAATTTAGCAAACTCAATAAAGAGCATAAAAATACACTTGACAATCTAGGAGCCCCTCTCTCTCCTTCCTTCATTTCAAGGTTTGTGAAATCCTAAATTCCTCTTGAAGAGTTATTTTCCTTCCTTAGGCTTTTTTGCTATTCTTCCATTTGCAATTTAATCTACATCAAGCACAATATCTCAGTTCCTTTAGGAATTTTTTTTGGTCCTTCTCTTACTCCCTCCTCCACTTCCTAATTTTTTCTGATTAATTAATGTAATTTGATTACAAAATCGATATTTCATCCTAAGTCACATCCCGTCCAGACCAGGACCATAAAGTACATCACACTAGATAAGTGACTCCTGAGCATTCAAGCATATCATTTAACCAAGGAGGTTACTTTGTCATGACTTCACCTCATCTTATCCCCCCCTACCCGTAGGAACAAACACCACATAAAGAAGTTCAAGGAACTTGCCCATGGCCTCCAATTCCCAGTCTCCTATCCCACATAACTAAGATGTTCCTCATTGTACCTCTAGCTACTACACAACCTCACAGCTCACAAACTAAGAACTCTAGAGGCTTCTGTCCAGCTCATTGTTCATGTTTTAAATTTTTTTGTCTCTTGCAAGAAGCCGACATCTACTCTCCAAGCTTAGATAAGTGAATTAGCTACTTTCCTCTTATCTGGGCAATTAAGCCCCCCACACGACATGCAAAGTTTTTCAACTTCATTTGGAATTAAAAAGGCAGTGGCCTCTCCCTCCTACCAGCACTTCCCACCCACTAACAATTTTTCCTCCGCTTTGACCGTCATAATTAATTGTGCGTGTCAACGTTTTCAACTCCCTTTATCTTTTCGAGTGAATAGAGCCTCCGTTGAGTACTTCTTAAACTCATTGAGAAATAAGTGTTTCAAATATTATGAATATTACTAGTTTCAACATTGTCAAGTTTCATCCCAAAATTGCAGTTCAAAAGTTATAGCCAATCCTCAACATTTACAAATCCAAGTTAGGAGCTGGTTTTATCCTTAGGAAACACATCAAAACGAAAAATCTGATAAATTTTTTTTAAAAAAACTTACACAATCCAAAATATTTAAAAACACTGTCTCAATGCAATGAGAACTGCATTAATCTATGTAAATCTAACACCTATTACAATGTAGGCATGATATAACAATACATATGACAACACTAAGTCCCTTGTACAAAATTATATTGTTTCTTTTAAAATTTTATTTCTTAATTGTGCATTTACATCTCTTTTGAAACTTCCTAAAATTTAATTTCAAAAATAGCATCATGGTTCAAAAAACTGGTCGGTTCGTATTGGTTTTCATCCTGTCCAATTCGCAACAGAACCGTTTACTGATGAGAACAAAGCTCGCATACCGACGTGTCAGTTTGAACCCATAATGGTTGGTTCATAATAATAACAATTAACCTTTTAACTTTTGGCCTTTGGGGCACAGCTACTAGGCTGGACAAGTAAATTTTAGTTCCTCCACCACACATTTCAGTTTAGAGCCCTTTGCTTTACTTTTATGAAGAACCTGGTGAGAAAAACTTACATGTTCTAGCGATGTGGGACACAGCACCCACTAAAATAGTAATGTAGAAGAAGGCATCCAATACATGTTCTACATACGTGGATAGCCGACTGGCACGCTTTGACTTCTTTTCCATTCTTTAAACTTTCAAATTCGAACTAATTGAATTAATCTAAAAACTCTACATATCAAACCATTTTAACATTAAAGAGACAACCATATGATCAACCATAGAAATTTTAATGCTTTAAAATGAATAAAAAAATGTGACTAATTAAGCCTAAAAGTGTCAAATAATACATATCATTGATTTTAGAGAAGTTGCTAATGGTTTTAAAAAATTCACAACCGCGACACTCAATTCCCAATATGTATCATTCAATACCCCTAGTATTGATAAACCGTGACCAATGCCTCTACATGTTCCGACACCGCAATTTAGAACCATGCATAACATACAAATAAAAATTCTTTTTTTGGGTGGTGCCAGTAGTAGAGAGGGGGCAGATAAATGAATTCATTAATACTTATGTATTACAGAATCTCACCATGCCCATCAAAAATTGCATTTAAAGAAAAATTGGGGATACAAGGGTTGATCCTCTTAAGAAAAAAAATAGATAACAAGAGGCATAACCAACCCTTCATTGTTTTTCAAAACATGAAAAATGGGAATTGTCTCCTAAATGTCAGTTTCAGCACTTCAAAAGATTAACCAAACTCCCTTTACCAAACTAATAGAAGATAGAGATGGTACATTCTATTTGTCAATAAAAAGGTAGCATAAACTAGCAGGTAATTGGTTCAACAAATAAGAATCCCAATTGATCACAACAATACAGGAGACGAGAAAGCCAAGCTAACCATCAATCCCGTACAGGGCCTTTGCTAGTGGTGAATTCATGGCTGAACGAGCATTAGGAAAGTCTGCACTCCCAACTTCCATGACTGGCTTCCCAGGATAGAACATGAAGGATGAAGGATTGGGAGTCGATTGTGTTTGGATAAACATGGTCCTCCTCTGCCCTGCCAAGGTAACATTGCCATAAAATAAGACTATACAGAAATCAGCACTTCCTCCATAATATGCCAACAGTTTGTAATCACTGTTTTTTTATTATTATTATTATTATCAAGAATTGAAAAATCACTACACGCTCCAAAGAAAATAATAATATCAAGTGGAAAGAGCAAAATTATTGATATACAGTCAGCGTGACTAGAATTAAGGGAGGGCCTAGGTGCACGCAGAGTTAAGGTTGCATAATCTAACCAGTCAGCAAAGCCCACAAACCCTATACTATCACTAGAATTGTTATAGCATGACTTATTTCCCTCTTTTTTCCTTACTATTTTATTAATTAATAAACCTCCTTTCAGTTGCAAAGAAATGAAGAAAGATAAAATAAATCAGAATTTTGAACCTTAACTATTTCAATAGTCAGGACATGATCAGAGATGCAAAAGGATCCTTGCCCCTTCAAAAAATTCGTATATTTTGTTTATTTAACAACAAATTCTTCCATACCACATTTTCTTTCCTCATTTCACTTATATATTATACATACGATTTTGATTAAGAGGCAAGGTTTAAAACTAACTCACTCTCCTTACTTCCCTCCCCCATTGCATACATATTTCCCCCACTCCCTCTCACACATCCACCTTTATCTTTCCAAAGGCCTCACATAGGTTTGGTTGCTCAAGAGAAAAATTGTGTAAAATGGTGAGAAGATAACTCTTCCAAAAACACATGGTTCTCCTTTCTCACCAAATCTCACTAAAAAATGGCAAAAATTTGTGAGAAAGAAAACCAGCTGAATGTCAAGTTTTTATGATAACAAAATTATAAATCAAACTATGGAGGAAGGAAAATAAATCACGCACGTATCCTGACAATAACAAAATTATAAATCAAACTATGAAGGAAGGAAAATAAATCACGCACGTATCCTGACAAGATGAGGTTATTTTGGAAAAATAAGATAAAATCCTTTCTTTTTTTCTAGTGTAACGAAACAAACAAGATAGATGAGAACCGTACTGTTGTCTTTCTTACTTGTCAACACAAAATATTTTCTTTTCTTTAGGTGAGAAGCACGATCTTTTTTGTTTTCTCACCTAGTGTATGTAACGTTGTCAATGTTTATATCTTTCCCAAGGAGAGTTTCATATTTTTGGGACAATTCAGGTTTCAAATTTGCACAACTCACACCGAACTGTCCCCAGGCAAACTTAAAGTGAGGTAAGAGCACATTAGTCTCTAGTTCCTTTGGAAACCAAAACAACTTTCTCTTCTTTTTCACAAGCTTTTGGCCATTCCATCAAATTCCCACATTAAAAAATGTACAAAACGTCAATTAGCCCTTCCGTTGTTTCTGGGTTCTTCACAATTTCAACATTCTACACTTTGTAGACAGCTAACTTCTCCACATCATAAGTTCCACTCCATACTCATTAAAGTTTGGCATACCTAAAAGCTAAAATTTCAATCCCACAACAGAAATATTATTATGGTTAATCAATACAATCTGAATCAATAACCAAACTTGTCAACAAATCTCATTTGCAGATGACACCAACACTTCCTATACAACATCTAACATAGAGTTTTCAAGCTGCAACTGTTTGGGGCTTCAAAAACTGTCAAAAATCAATTTGACAGGTTTTCATTTTCTTTCTCTTAATAACAAATTTTTCATAGATTTGGACCCAGCAATCAATTACCAATACATAAATAAATTTTACAAAAACACAAACATATACATATATGCATCTCAATATTTTGATTTTTTTTTTTTCGTTTTCTTGTTTATCTGAATAACAAGAAACCAAATTACCTCCAAAAGCGTCCCATTTTAAGGAGTGCAATGAAGAGATAGGTGAGGATTTTAATGAAGTGAAACCAGAGAACGCTTTGAGGTTTTGTGAAGTCGAAGAAGACGCTGTGGTTGTTGAAGAAACGAATAAGAGGCGAGTAGAGGCATAGCGAGCACTATTTCGGGAACAAACATCTGATCTTCTGCAGAGACCGTGCCGCACCAATCTTCCAAAACCCTTCATCACCTCTTCTCCTTTCTTCTGCAAATTCGCTGTCTGCTTCAAAAACAAACTAAACACTACGTTTGGGAAAAGAAATTCGCTGTCGGCTTCAAAAACAAACACACACTACGTTTGGGAAAAAGAAAAAGAGAAAATTATCACTTATGATCGTGATTTTGTTGTTTACTTGTTTGATAAGTGAGAAATAAAACAAAAAAATAATTGTGATTTTTCCCTTTTTTATTTGTTAGATTTTATAAATGAAAATAAAAGAAATTATTTTATATTATATTATTAAAATAATTTTTTTATATTTTGTCAATCATGTTTTATATTATATTATCAAAATAATCTTTTACAGAGACAAAATTAATATTATAAAAATATAAGAATCTATTGATTTTTTTTTCTCTCACAATCTCTCCACTTTTGGAAAGATTAAAAATGAGGGTGAATTTATCTCTATTTCTCCTCATTTTGCTCTACGTAAGTTATCTAAATAAGTAAGAGAAATATATATTTCTTCATTTTTTTTTTTTTTTCTCACCAAATCACTCCATCCAGACATAGTCTTAAAGGGATTTTTATTGATAAGCTTTATTTGGAGATTTTGGAAGGGGTTTAAAAATAAATAAATAAAGAAATTTATGTGTTTTATTCTTATTTTATCTATTCTTTTTTCTTTTTTCTTTCTGTATTTCTTTCAAAATCCCTCAACTAGTTAGAGATGTTCTAACCGATAAGTCCATGAAATACGTAGCCTAGTTAATATCGGTGTCTATATTTTATTTGATGAGATTTTTTTCTTAGTTATATTATTTGTTTGATTATTATACTTTTATCTCTATTGTCGATATGTATTATAGACAAAAAAAATATACACGTTTCTTTTTTTACTCTCTTTCGGTTTTGATGGTTATCATTATTCACTCTTTTGATTCTGATTCAGTTTCACTCATGTTGTGATATTGTTTCGTTGTGGTAGGGTTTTGTTATTGTGGGATGAAGACGACAAATCAAAGTTGTGTGTAGTGCATTAGTGTTGATCGTTTGTGCTCTTTTTTTTACATAATTGTGTGAAGTCAATCATTGATCCGATTGAGAGAATAAGTACAGAATTAATTATGCAACATCAATCATTGATTAAAAGGAGAAAATGAGTATATAATTTCTTCTCAAGGTTAGTATCGTTTTGTTTATAGATGCATATTTATTTATATTTGAATTTATATAAAGGATTGTATGCTTTGTTTTTTACTTTCAACTTCATTTTTTGGAATACATTATTTATGTGCATTTTCTAGAATACACAGAGATGTAAGTTTATTTTTTTTCAAATGAGCTTATGATTTTTGTTTGGTAATACATGCACACAAAGCTCTGATTTTTGGATGTTGTGAATACTCATATTATGTGAACTAGGGACGGAACTACATATAGAACTACAGGGGCCTGGCCCCCTGCTTTACACAAGACGCTCTACCTTATATAGATTTAGTTCAACACACCAATTTCTCTTATGGGCCCTATTCCATCTTATAATTTTAACTATTTTCTTTAACAGTTCTTTATAATACAATAATAGTATAATATATATAAAAAAAATGTTATTATAAGAAATATATGATTTATTTTTTTATGAAAGTTTAGAATATTTGTAATGTTATGTGTAGTAAATGTTACAAGTAGTTAATTTATGTTGTGCATCTCTAAAGTGAAAGTGAAAATGAAAGTTATGAATTATTATAGTTACGTTATGAACGATGTAGTGTAAATCTTGCGAATTATTTGTGATGCAAAATGTTACAAATTATTTTGGTGAAAGAAGTTGCAATTTGTTATGGTTGTGCTACAGACATATATTATGATACAATATGCACCTTTTAAAGAGTGCACACCATGATAACTCCCTAACATATTATGTTTTAAAATATATTTTTAATTATATTATTCACTTTATAAATGAAATTAAGTTCACAATTTTTGTATTTCATTAGCCCAATCATTATTTATCGCTACTGCAATATAAGAACTCTCACTGATTAGTGATGCCATAAGGTAATATAAATGTTACATCAAATATTTAATAAAAATCAAAGTTTATCCATTTTCAATTAATAGCATGAAAAATCACAATTGTTTATTGCATGAAAATCCATTGATTTAAATCTAACCTCATTTATCTTCCTATATTTGTTTTTGGTCCCCACAATGATCGAATTCTGGGTCCATCCCCAATGTGAACAATGTGAATGTTCACATATTATTAGTTATATTTAGGGATGGCTATTTAAATTTGATCCGCAGGGGCCCGTCCATACCTGCCTGAATGGGGCAAATTTTACCTGCTCCGACACATATGCGAGGCGAGAGTGAATTATGTTTTATTTCCACTGATCCAAACTTGACCTGATATAATTAATAATATATAAATAAATAATATATGTATATATATATAATATAATTAGATATAAGAAAATAATATTAAAAGTTTTTGATTTTGTTTAAGCATAAATAAATAATAACCTTAAAAGTCTTACGGTTTATATATGTGAAAATAAAAAAATTACTTAGTGTGCTAAAAATTTAAATGGTTCTTAATTTTTTTGACTATTTGAAATGTGGTCGTATATCCGCGGGTATCGGGTATCTGCAAGGATAGGGTGGAAAAATTTCACTCGTAGCGGGGGTGGGCAGTGGCAGGGTGGAGTTTGTTGGCAGGGGTGGGGGTAGGGAATGGCAAACCCGCCCCGTGACCATCCCTAGTTATATCATTATTGTCATGACCCGAACCCGCCCCCGCGGGTTAAGGACACAATCGGCTAGTAATCATGAGACTACTTACGGCCTCAAACCGAACCAAACATATTTTAACAGAGTTAATGGGAGCCAAACGGAAGCAAATTTAAAACTTTGTCCATAGAGTTGTGCTTAAGTGCACACCGTAACATACCAAACATTTATATGTTAATAACTCACATCAGAATATGTACTAGCACAAAAAACTGTACATACAGGATCATACAAATTTAGGCCAAGTTTGGGAAGACTAAAAAAGTGCACTTTTTGTCTTTTTGGACTAAAAAATTGAGGTTGAAAATATGGATGTTTAGGTTAACTTTTTGACTTTTTATTGAAAAATGTGTAATAAAAAATTGTAAAAATTGATTTGTAGGAAAAAATTTGAATTGAGAGAAAATTTGAATTGGGAGTTGTGCAGCCGTAATTGTTGATTTTTGGTGAATAGTGTTAACTTTTTAACTTTTTGAGTAACTTTTTGGCTTTTTGGATTTTTTTGAAGTCCCCAAACTTGGCCTTAAGTCAGTCAAACCCAAGACTTATATACAAAAATGGTCCGATGTTTTCACCAACAAAACAAAACTATAAACAGAGGACAAAAGGACGAAGACGGTCTCGTGCGTGAGACGTTTGGGCTGACTCCTCAAAACTCTGATTGTTTCTCAGAATTTCACCTGGGCTGGTTTTGGGCCTCCCTTGGCTCACCTACATGTACATGAATGAGCGTGAGCGAATGCCCAGTGAATAATATCAATTAAAGAAGATACATAAGCAATCATTGAAACAGTTACAGCAAACGGCCTTTGGCCCAATCATTTATATCTATCGGCCTTTGGCCCAATCGTTTATGTCAGTCGGCCTTCGGCCCAATCATTCATGTCAATCGGCCTTCGGCCCAATTATTCATGTCAATCGGCCTTCAGCCCAACCATTTGTATCAATCGGCCTTCGGCCCAATCATTCGTATCTATCGCCCATCGGCCCAATCATTCGTATCAATTGTTGTCCACCATTCAGATTAATGAACTTACAAAACTTACATATAAGTAAACAATTGGACAACAATATATTTCAAATATCTTGTTAAGATATTACTCACAGTGATCGGTTTGTGGATTTGCCATGGAGCTCGACCCTACACATTCCATGAACACAAAATGGTCACTAACAATTCAATCCGTTCTAAATTCACATTTTCCTATTTAGGCTTTATTCTTATCTCTTTAACTCATTTACAATATTTAACACATGCCTAAGAGTGCTTGCAAGTGAAAGAGAACGGAAAACAAAACACAGAATGCGAAAACAAAATTTTAGAAAACAGGGTCCTCGCTCGAGCGTGGACTATCCCGCTCGAGCGGACCCTTAAGACCTGCAAAAGTACTGGTTGCATGAAAAATAAGCTCGAGAGTGAAATAGGACGCTCGAGCGGAAGGCCTGTCTACAAAGCTCCCCGTTCGAGCGGACACCGAGTCTGCAAAAAGTACTGGGAGCATGTAATTTACGCTCGAGCGTAAGTTATCCCGCTCGAGCGGACCTCAAAATTCTAGAAAATCCAGAATGTGTTCTTGAGCTCCCTCTCAACATTCAAACAACATTTCTCGCATTTTATGGCTCCAACCTCACATATTCTTGTACTAACATGGTATAAACACTAAAACACAGTATAAACACTAAAACACATCATCATGGAGCTCAATTTCATGAATCAAACACATGCATGCCCCAAATTGACACCAAACTCAATTCCAATATATGCATTCATGCATCCAAAGCTCTTATCTTCATAAATTGTACATGCATGTGATGTATTGCTCCCATTTTCAGCTTATATGACACAAATGGTGATTATACATGAGCTTTAACCAAAATCCTACATGGATCATGTATATTAAACTCAAACATGCAAATTCAAGCAATTACATACATGCATGCACACGTGGGTCTTTAATACAACAAAATCAAACTAATTCATGTTCTTGACCCTCATTCAAACTTGAATTCACAAGATGATAACTAAAAACACATGAATTACTCACCAAAGAGCTTTAATCTTCACAATCTATGGCAAATTCTTGAGTTATCTTCAAGACTTTCAAAGTTCAAGAGCAAAACTTGCACAATTCTTCTCTCTCTCTCTCTCTCTCTAGCCGGCCTTCACACCCTTTCCATGACTATCTAAGATTTTTGAGTTCAAAAAGGAGCAAAGAAAGTGTATATGGCCATATAAAAAATCCCACCAATGCTTATTTAATAATATTAAATAGTTGGGCACTAATTCACCAATTTAATCCAAATCAATTTTCAATTAAATTTCACCGTAGGCTCTAAAAATTATGGCAATCACAATG